GATCACTTCATGTTCATGTCATGATCACTTCATGTTCATATCATGATCACTTCATGTTCATGTCACGATCACTTCATGTTCATGTCATGATCACTTCATGTTCATATCATGATCACTTCATGTTCATATCATGATCACTTCATGTTCATGTCATTGACATGCTAAGACATCCAAAATATGTCCTCATGACATGATTAGCTGTCCAGTATAGGTTGAATATTACATGACTGTATCTGGTATACATGTATGTCTCCTATCTGATTTACGTCTCCTATATGACATGGTTCCAAGACATATCTTTCTGGTCAATATATCCCTTCCATGACATATCTGTCTGGCCAATATATAGCTTCCATGACACACCTGTCTGGCCAATATAGACCTTCCATGACACACCTGTCTGGCCAATATAGATCCCTGGTGACATCTGTCTGGCCAATATAGACCTTCACTGAGATACCTAATTATACCTATATGTTCTATATGGTTGTCTGGTTGAAATAGGTCTCATATAGGTCCTGGAAAACAAACTGGTCATATGGCATGGTTGTCTGGCCAATACAGGTCTATGACAAGGCCAACATTTCTACAGACATAGTTGTCTGGCCTGTTAAGGTATATTAATATGGTAGTCTGACCAATACAGGTTTATGACATGGTTGCTGTATGGTAAATCTACTAGCAGATAGACTGATATGGTTGTCTGGACACAATAGGTCAAGAGCATCATCGGTTCCAAGTGCATGGTTGTCTGACAAATATGAAATGGTTATATACCAAATATACCATATGAATTTAATGGTTACCATGGCAACATATGTCCCACATGAATATGAAGCAGGCTGCATGCTAGTGATCTATACAAGAACGAGAAAAACAAACTGATGCAATTTCTATAGCACACAGCATATGAGTAAAGATGACAGTACAGTGGCATGGCATGGGAAATATGACAGAACCTCACCAACTGAACTGCCCCCTTCATCAGAGCTGCTACTCTTTCCTGCAACCAATCAATCATCATGCATAAAATTAGGTCAGTACAATACATGCTGCGATCACATGGTGGCAAATAACAGATATTTACATTGTTAATGCACATCTAAAGCGTCAAAGTCATCATGTAGTCTGTGTTCAAAATTATTTTGTGTGAACAAACAATAAATTTAACCGATTGTCGAAATGAATGGGAAAAAATGATGTCATCAGGCGATGAGTTACACACATTGTATACGTCACATGGGACTCATATCCTACACAACAAGGTATGATAACTGTGACACTTTATTTTTAAAACTAACTATGATGTCTATTCTTACTTCTTTTTGGAGGAACATCATTTTCTCCGTTCTGTTTGAGATGAGTTGGCAGTGAGTGGCAGTAAGCGCTAAGTCCCGTCTCCTGAAAAGAAAAATAAACAATCAGAAATGACAGAAGTTCTCAGCTACAATGTTGCCATTTTGTGAATGGAAGGCTGCATGATTTTCATCCAGGTTTATACATTTTGGTTTTCACACTGCATTATCAATACAAATGAAAGTGTTTGCAATATATTATGATTATTTGGACATGTCTGTCACTGAGGGCGCACTTCAGCCATTAAAGGTGTATTTCAGTCACCGAAGATGTACTTCTGTCACTGAGGGCGCACTTCTGTCATTGAGGGAACACTTTTGTCATTGAGGGTGCATTTCAGTCATTGAAGATGTACTTCTGTTCACTGAGGGCGCATTTCTGTCACTGAGGGCACCACTTTTATTGAGGGAGCATTTTAGTCATTGAAGATGGACTTGCCATTGAGAACGCATCTCTGTCACTGAGGGCGCCATTCTGTCATTGAAGGTGCATTTCAGTCATTGAAGATGTTCATGTCTTTGAGGGCGCATTCCTGTCACTGAAGTCATACTTCTGTCTATGAAAATGCATTTCAGTCATTGAAGGTGTACTTCTGTCATTGAAGGTGCATTTATTTCGCTGAGGGCGCACTTCTGTGATTGAGGGCATACTTCTTGCCATGGGAGGGACATTCCTAATATGACAATTACAGCATATTAGGCAGGAGGGGATACTTACCAAAATTTCCCCACATTTGACTTTGACCAGTTTGTGACATTTCTTGTGCACTAAGAGTTTACATTCAATGCATTTATAACCCTGTCTTCCCAATCCCCATATTCTGTCAGAACAGTAGTGACATGTGGCTCTCTAGAAACAAAAAACACAGCAAGCATGAATTTATCATCCAATATCACTAATTTGTAAAGCTGATTGATATGATAGACTGCTAGTCTAGATACATGTAATTGTAGTTAGAAATAAATTAGTGTTTGAACAAACATAAACCAATCACCTGCCTCATCTGTGTAGATTGTACATTTATTTCACTCATTGCATTATGACTCAGAATTACATGAATTCATTAATCCAAACAAAGAACATACGCTGGCAGAAAATGAAGCTCATGTTTGCTTAAAAAATTGCAGCTATCATGCCTGTAAGGTTGTACATGTATACCCCAACCCTATAAAATCGAAATAAAATAAACAAGAATTACTATAATACATACTCTACTGAATCTCTTTGCTGCAAATGTATGTCCGTTGACTTTATATAATTTTCTCCACCTCCGGGCACCACGCCTGTACATATTCCCTAGAAATACCAAGTCAAATGTTACATTAACAAGCAGCCTATCGGCTGAGATAGCTCCGCTGTTAGCAATGCACATTTCAATTAAAGAACTGAAGACATCATTAGAAAATGAACAATATGAATAGTATCAAAGCAATCGGACTTACAGTTTTTAACAAGAAGTCAAAAATATCACTTTTTACCAAAAATTACAAAAATATTCACCAAAATAAATTAATTAGAGAATTGAAGATATCATCACAAAATGAACAAATCTGAGAGAGGTCCACATGTAGTACCTATATATGTAATATCAAAGCAATCGGACTTACAGTTTTCAACAAGAAGTCGAAAATATCACTTTTTATCAAAAATGACAAAAATATTCACCAAAATTAGAGAATTGAAGATATCAACATGAAATGAACAAACCTAAGAGAGGTCTACCCAAGGTACATATACACCAAGTATCAAAGCATTCAGGCTTGTATTTTTCAAGAAGAAGTTGAAAAAGTAAAACATTGACACGGACGACGACGACGGACAATCACTCATATGATAAGCTCTGCTCGACAAACTGTCACAATTCCCAAATCAGATATAATCATCAAATATTTTGTGAATATGGGCAACCACGCATAGCAGTTAGGAGAAATATCCAACAGACCTTTGTGATGGATATCTAGCAACCAGACACTGAGAAATATGTGTTTTTCATATTCAGTAACTTTTGCCAAAATATATATATATGCAATTTTTTAGACTTTTTATAATTGGCATTGTAAGATGGATGACAGTGCTACTACCTCTTGAAAGAATTTTGATCAATTTTAACAAAGCAAACATAATTTTGTTGTCAAGAGTTGTATTTTTGTGTCAAAGTAACCAGCCCCTTCCTTACTGTAAAACCATTTATTTTCACTGACATTTAATTTCACTACTTTCATGTTTTATTGCTATTTTAGCAGATTTTACTTGTCAACGAAAATAGCAAAATTAAAACCCCATGAATAATTAATGCATTTACACTATTTATTTTTACATGCAGACTGGAAGTAGATGCTCTAACCATACATGCATTCATTCATGTATGCTGTGTATTTTGTAACAAATGAAATGACAGGGCTATGTTGCTATATAATGCCATTATGACAATTTGATGT